GGCCCTGACACAAGTCAAAATTTGGAACTTCGTCTTCAAAATACACTTTTGGGGGCGTTTTTTTCCTCGAAAGAAACTGTGAATTTTTGAACTTGTACCGGGAAAACAAGAAAGTTGTGACGTCAAAACTGTGTTTATATACCCTCATGCAAACATGGCTATCAACCAATCACAGCGTGCGTACTATTTAATTTATTTTATAAACAGGTATATTCACTTTCAGTTATTAAGCCATTTTATACAGAGCTTAACACAAAAAATCCTATCATTTTTTCAGCCTATGTTTTCTTCTGTCCTGGATATTCAACTTCCATTGAAGAAAATGTTGGGTCCTACACAGTTCAACTTTGTCGTGTTGGTGTGCTTGAAGACACCCACACTGTGCGGTAAGGGTAGTGCAGTATCCAATTACATCTATTTTCTCCCCTTTTCTAGGATTTTCATTCAATGTTCCCGCCTAGAAATAACATCCAGATTTTATATTATTAAAAAATAAGGAAGATAAAAAAAAAGAAGAAAGAAAAAAAAAGTACGAAAAAAAAACACAAACAAACAAAAAATAAATAAATAAATAAATGAATAAAAAAGGAAAGAAATAAAAGAAAGGAAAACGTACAAAAGAAAAGGAAATAAAAAAATATTTTAACAAGATTTCGTCTCTCCCAAATAGACTATGCAGAACTTCCGATTCAGTTTCTCCGCCGCATGATTATCCATCAGTACGAGCACAGTGTAATAATACAGTGTTTACAGCGTACGACACGGTAAAAGAACTCCTCATTCCTGTGACTAACGACACTTGGGGTGAACAAGAGTACAAAACATTCAACGTTTCCATAAACACTAACGATTCTCGCGTCACCTTCAACGATACAACAAGTTACGTTGTAACCATACACGATGACGATAGTAAGTACTTCTTCTGTACTAAAGCGATGGTGCATGCGCCTATTTCCTTAAGTAAACAAAGATGGCCGCTGGAAAACTGGTCGAGATTTACAGACAAAAGCATTTTATAACAAACATAAGAACAATGAAACACAGAACATGTCTTTATTTATATCCGTAGGGATTTTCAGAATTATTTTACGATATAAATAAATTAAACATTGTGCCTTCAGAAGTCTTTCTTCAATTCACATTTTACCTAGGCATGGCATCACCTTTCTTTTCATTATATATATACATGGTCGTGTGATTTCTACTTTATGACTATTGTTTCTGTATTCTCTAAGGAATCAAAAATTTTAATATGAAAGAA